GGGGGGGTTAGGGTTAGGGGGGGGTATCTGAATGAAGCGTAAAGTTTAAAGCATAGTGGAGCAGGAGGGAGAGGGACAGCAGAGTAACTCCTCTCCTACCCTTCATGCTGTCAGAGCTGTCAGTCAGGCGAGTGAAAGAGATGAGAAGCAATGACACACTCTTTGTCTGGGCAAGAAGGACTAGCTGTCCAGTTCAGAGGTGGGGGTGCAGTCGAAGAGAATGAGTTATGAGTGGGGAGGTGAAGAGGAGCAATGATTAAGTGATTGGAGGAATAAGGGAACCTTTTTAGGCCGGCCCACTGTGATGGAGTGGCAGCCATACTGGATGAGTCATCCTGGTGGAGGGAAAATGATGGGGGCTTTTTCAAATAGTTGTCAAGTCACATTCTGTGATTAACAAGAGGCAGGAGCCGAGGAGAAGAGAATCAGTTTATGCTACAGTGCAACAGTGACGTGACTCGAGCTGATGAGGTTTCTGTCAAAGCGCTTCACAGTTGATCTGTTGAGTAAAAACAATATATTCATCATTTAATTCTGAAATAACTTCATCTGGTTTCACTAACAACATAACATCACCTTGTGTCTCATTTAGGTACAAAAACTGTTGCTATTTCCTGACACACCTCTGGATTAGTGTTTCTCATAACTTTTGAACAAGAAAATCAATTCAGCTTGCAGGTTCTGATTCTTTCTTTCCACAGAGATGGTCTCTGTCGGGCTTTTGCAGGTCTGGTGGTCATTTAAAAGCATGCACAGTAGTTCTCAAAGACATGGACAGTTTTTAGTAAATTATGTTGAAGTTCTGTCGAGTAAAACTGAAGCATGAATATTAAGGACAATTTCGTATAGTTTTTGCTGACTTTTCTATATCTGAATGTGAGGCATTATCACACATTAGTCAAAGTATAAGTGACTTTAAATAAAATCCTTTCTTGCAAATGTACTTTAGCTCAGAGCTTCCTTCAAATTTAAGGTGCTTCTTAGTTATACGGAGGAAAATTATTTTATATCCCTGGCTCTGTGCCTGGTGTTAACTTGCATCTCTTGTCTGGATTTTGCTCAGACACGACTAAGATGGATTACACATACATCTTCGTTTCTCTTGCAGTATGCATATCCATGGTAAACATCACCTCCTGTGATAATGTTGCTATCTGAGCTGCTTACCACCTGTTCGGCATGCATGATGCACTTTTTCCCCCTTTTTTGTATGTGAACTTTTGCAAGAAATCATTTTTAAGAAGAGGAAACTTTTTAGGTGCCCTGCGTTTTGTGTTCCTTTATTTTCCAAACTCAATCTGCTCAGTTTATTTATTTAAACCACATAACAGAGCTAATACCCAACTTTACTTAAATGTCAGTGTCAGTCATTTTTAGCACTTAGGTTGTCAAACTGTGGATGTCACTGTTTGACACAAAAACCTCCAGGAATGCTCGCATCTTCTAACTGGTGGCCGAAGTGCTGCTTTATAGTCCCACACACGTCCCTTTTGTTTCAGACTGCATTTTAGATGACAGAACAGACGGAGCTTGTTGCTGCAGTGGGAGCCGAGTCGCAACTTGATTTGTTTCCAATCCTCCAGTGTGTCTGCGGTGTAGCAGCCATCACTCACTGCTAACTGTGTTAGCCATTAGTATCAATTAATCTCAACAAACGCTGTTGGCCATTACACTCAATACATCACCACAAGCTCTGCTAACTATATACCACACAGAACATAACAGTACCGGCACAGCCCTGTCGCTCTGTGGGAGAAGATGAGAGATACATGTGTCATTCCCCATATGGCTACGTGGGAGAGAAAGAGAGTTACAACTAGAAACAGTGAAGGAGACAGGGGCAGAGGGAGAAGTGAAAAAGAAGGTGATATATAACTCTGGCCCTGTGGGACTGCAGAGCGCAGCCTCTGTCAACACAGTAAATATACTCTCGGTATTTGTCATAATAGTTCATTAGTGCTGGGAAGAGATTTACGTAGGTAGCAGGGGTGAGGAGAGTGGATTAGGAAAGGGGCATTTTATTTTCCAAAATACATGTTCTGAAACATATTTTAAAACTCTTAGACAGCTGGCACCTTACCACATAAATGTATTTCCATTAAGCCTTAACTCTCTCTCTCTCTCTCTCTCTCTCTCTCTCTCTCTCTCTCTCTCTCTCCTCTCTCTCTCTCTCTCTCTCTCTCTCTCTCCAGCGTTTTCAAACTGCTTAAATTAGCCTCCTCATCATTCTGCTCCTTATAATCCTTCTCCCCTCCCCCTTTCTCCTCTGTTGTCACCAGAAACAGAATAATCTATTGCTCTTTACATGATGGGCTATGCATTATCTAATATAGGAGATGGGAATATGTTGGGCAGTGAGACAGAGAGAGAGAGAGATGGAGAGATATAGAGTGGGAGACATGTCATAACTCGTACTATATATCATCTTGATGAGAGGCTCTGCAGTGCTGGACTGAGTTTAAGTTGGGCCCTATGTGGACCATATGATTAAATCACACTACTTAAGAGATAGTTTAACATTTTGGGAAATACAGCCCATTTATTTTTCTTTCTTTCCGAGAGAATTAATATTGATATCAGCTTCATGTCTCTGTTCAGATGGAGAGTGAGGATGTCTTACTGGACATGGAAGAAAACTGGCTAAACTGACTTTGTCGAAAATTAAAAGAAAATAGGTACCTACACACTCCTAATGCGGACTCATTTAGACAGTGTATCTTGATTGTTTAAGCCAAACATAAACAGAAATTAAAAAAATTAATGTGATTTTAGGGAAAATTTGTACCTTTGTGTAGCATTGGGTTTCCAGATTCGGTGAGCAAAGGTTTGGGCTGTAGGCTCTGTACAAGGCACATGGTGCCAAACCTGGCAACTTAACTGTGCCAACAAAAACTTTGAGAAGCTGTGCAGTCAGCGCACACAGCTGTTGTTTGCCAAGAAATAGTTCTGGCACATAATTTCTCCCAAAACCGCAAATTATCTATCTACTGTCTATAGAGAGGTTGAAATAATTAAATTACTTAAATTTGTCCGTTTTAGAGGGCATTTTGGGCAAAGTCATGTTAGCTGCTCCGTCTGCCTCCATTCTTTATGCTAAGCTAGGCCTAACATGGACTCCAGCTCCTTAGTTAATTCATAGACATTTCATATCAAGCAAAGCATAGAATATCCTTAAATATTCAAGGTCTTTAAAGCTGCGCTAATTCCTAATTTTATATTCACAATGGTCAAGTGATTATATGTAATGTGAAAAGGATCACTCAAAGTAATGAACCTACAAAGTCTTATCATTCAACTCTACATTCCTCTCAGCTTTACGAAGCGTTTCAGAGTCTTTCAGCTCATTGGTTTTATGGTCCGCAACTTCACTGTTTGGTTCACTCTCACTGTTCTCATCAATCTCATCTTCAGTCGCAGCAAGAAGCTGCTTTCAGCAAAAACCTGTATCACAGCCACTGTGTGCTCTTTGCCCTGCACGAACCAGCAGACAGACACAGTTAGCGACTAACGGATGAACACAGTGAAGAATTTACTAACTAAAAAAACAGATATTTCCCTCAGTAAGCTGAGCTAAAGGGAGAGTAGACTTATATTAGACGGGCATGCATGTTGGGTGGA